CAACAGCAGTCGCAGATGCAGCCGTACCGGCAGTCGCAGCAGCAGCCGCAGCAGCAGCGGCAGCAGCGGCAGCAGCAACAGCCCGCTTTGAACGGTGTTGGTGGAATCTACGATTGCGGTAGTAATGCCGTGTATCATCAGCCGGAATCACTACCTCCACCTGGCGCGCCGATGGGCACAGTGCACAGATGCGGCCGCTGTGGAAGGCACGGTCACCACGCCATAGATTGCGCCGCCCCCCGCAGGTTCGAGGGCACGTGCGGTGCATGCGGCCAGTACGGTCACATGTGGCGCAACTGTGCCAAGAGCAACCGGCACCCCCACCTCAACGTCGTCACTTCTGCTGGTGCCCTCGGTCCGGAGTACGCGTACACCGCCGCGGATACATCGGCCGTCCAATTTCGTGATGTCCCGGCGGCCGATGGCGTATACTACAGTGACACCATGCTGGCCGGCGCTGGTGGCGGCGGCAACGGTGGTGGTGGTGCTGGCGGTGGTGGCAGCGGCGGTGACAATGGCGGTGGTGGCGGTGGAGCGATCGTACAGCAGCAGGTAGTGACACCGGGCGAGCCTTACTTTGATGTTGTCGACATTTTCCACGGCAGCAGCGGCGTGGAAGGTGAAAATGGCGGCGGCAGCGGTGGTAGTGACGCGGCGGGAGCGGGCCCTGAGGCGCTTGGCAACGGCGAGGGTACCTTCGGTGGCGGTCTCTTCGCGATGCACCTTGTCTGTTCCGTTACCTCATCCCCCCCCGTGCGCGAACCATCCGACCTTTTCCCACATCGCCCGGGTTCGACGGTCTTCCTTGGAGACACCGGCGCCGTAGTCCACGTGGTCCCTTCTGGGGAAAAGGTGTACAACAGGCGCCCGCCGCTCCCGGAGGAGCGACTACTCATGCTTGGCGACGGTACGCACATCCCGGGAGACTTTTTCGGTGACTTGGACGTGATCTTCCACTGCCCTGAGGACGTGCGCGTCACCCTGCAGAATGTTGGTGTGGTACCGGGTTTGGCGCTAGATATTCTGTCGCTGAACAAGATCCAGGATCGCCATGAGATCAAGCTTAACCGGCATGGAGCATCGATCTTGGGGGGGCGAGTGCGCATGACAAAATTCCCTCACGGGAATTACATCCAGGGGACTCGCGTTGATCGACTGCCTCAACGCGACTCACCCCCTCAGCCCCCCGCGATGGTTGCGGCGATGCTACGGCCTGGCACGCAATCCAGCATCGACTACAACGCTCTTCACTGCTCCCTCGGTCATGCCAATTCCAAGACGCTGTACGAGACTGCCAAGCAGATGGGTATCAAGGCGACCGGCACTCCGGAGTACTGCGATGAATGTGCGGGGTCGAAGGTGATTCAGCGCTCGGTCCCCAAGGTCATCTCCCCCTCCCGCCGGACGACGCGGCCTCTTGAGCGTGTCGCGATGGACCTAGCCGGTCCGTTCGGCCAATCCAGCGGCGGTACCAAGTACGTGATCCAGATCCTGGACCACGAGACCAACTACGGATGGGTTTGCTGTCTGCGGGACAAGAGCGGTACAAACGTGGTTGCGGCCTATCGTGCGTGGTATGCCTCCATCAAATCGCTCTTGGCTACTCACGGGAGACTGGGCTGCGTTATGACCGACAACAGCACGGAGTGGGTCAACGCGGAGTTTCGGGGGCTGCTTGCGGAGCTGAACATTACGCGGGAGCTCACGGCGGTCGACGGGCCCAAGAGCAACGGTCGTGTGGAGTGGAGGATTGCACTAATGATGGTGGGGGGCAAGGCTGCGTTTGTGGAGTTCCCGAAGCTTTTCCCCGGAGTCACGTTCCCGACCAAGGCGCTGTCCTTCCGGGCCATCTGGCCCGAGGCCTTCGCGTGGATGAACGACTCTCTGAACATCGCAGCGGAGGTGAGCAAGGAAGACAAGCGGTGCCCGGAAGTTAAGCTGTACGGCAGGAGGAGGATCCGAGTGCTTCTGCCGTTCATGATGCCCGGCTTCCGTCACCGTCACCGCCCGTCCAAGATGCACAGCAAGGGAGGGCGGTGCTTTTATCTGAACTCAGGCCAGGATCATTCCTCTACGACGCACAAGATCATCACGCCGGCTGGGGTGCCCACCTACTCCNACGGCAGGAGGAGGATCCGAGTGCTTCTGCCGTTCATGATGCCCGGCTTCCGTCACCGTCACCGCCCGTCCAAGATGCACAGCAAGGGGGAGCGGTGCTTCTATCTGAACTCAGGCCAGGATCATTCCTCTACGACGCACAAGATCATCACGCCGGCTGGGGTGCCCACCTACTCCGAACACTGCACCTTCGGCTTCAGCAGCCAGGGCTTTCGAGGAGATGGGCGTTCTTGAGGGTCGGAAGGGGGGATGGAGGGAGGCACCGCGGTGGCGGCCGGAGCAGCAGCATCGGCGGCAGCTCCAGCGGCGACGGCGGTGACCTCCGGTGGCAGTGTTCCCCCCGCGGCGGCGGCGGGGGGGATGGCCGGAAGCCCCGCGGTGGCGGCCGGAGCGGCAGCATCGGCGGCAGCTCCAGCGACGACGGCGGCGACCTCCGGAGGCAGTGTTGCCCCCGCGGCGGCGGCGGGGGTTATGGCCGGAGGCCCCGCGGTGGCGGCCGGAGCGGCAGCATCGGCGGCAGCTCCGGCGGCGACGGCGGCGACCTCCGGTGGCAGTGTTCCCCCCGCGGCGGCGGCGGGCGGGCCCGCAGTGGGCCCCGCGGTGGCGGCCGGAGCGGCAGCATCGGCGGCAGCTCCAGCGGCGACGGCGGCGATCTCCGGTGGCAGTGTTCCCCCCGCGGCGGCGGCGGGGGGAATGGCCGGAGGCCCCGCGGTGGCGGCCGGAGCGGCAGCATCGGCGGCAGCTCCAGCGGCGACGGCGGCGACCTCCGGTGGCAGTGTTCCCCCCGCGGCGGCGGCGGGGGGAATGGCCGGAGGCCCCGCGGTGGCGGCCGGAGCGGCAGCATCGGCGGCAGCTCCGGCGGCGACGGAGCAGCGGCAGCATGAGCATATGACGGAGCCGGAGAGCAGGGTGGAGAGCGGAGCAGCGCGCAGCGCGGTGTTGGCGGAACTTGCGCGGATGGCGGGGGGGCCTTCGCGGATGAGCACATCTGCGGCACCTGTTGCCACACCTGCCCCCGTGCACTCGGCGGCGATGGCATCGGACGGACTGTGGACGGAGATGGTGCATGAGGGCGGTACAGGCGGACGTCGTCGGCAGGGGCAGCGGGAGTTTGTAGCGACCCCCGCAGTGACGAGGTCGCGGGCGAGGCGAGATGGGCCGGGGCTGGGGATAATTGCTCTTCTAGCCACGGAGGACGAGATCAAGGGGTCTATCGCCGAGCTTCCTGCACCGGGCGTCGCTGAGCCATCCCTGCCGACGGGGCTGGTGTGCGACCTGGAGACGCCTGAGACATACGGGGAGGCGCACGCGGGTCCCCACCACCACATCTGGACCAATGCCAAGCGCAAGGAGTTTTTCGGGCTGAATGCAGTGGGTACCTTCGAGGCGGTCGGGGCGGAATAGCAGCGAGTGACGAACATGATCTCCGCCAAGTGGGTGTATTCATGGAAGGGAGTTATGGCGATCGGTTTGTGAATTCGATACTTTTCTACCTCGGTGATACCCTTTGGTGCAGTGGACGAGTTTTCCAAAAATGAAACACAGTCATATGCTATTACATCGCCTACAGAACTGGCCCGGAGATAAGAAACTTCAAAATCGGGTTGAACCTCGATCTCATATTTTGGGCAGAAGGACCAGCCGAAGTCGGCCCAATTTCATAAAACGGATTCTTATTACTTTGAGCTGTCGTGTCCTACTGATTCTCTTATTTTCTTATATTCTTACTTCTGGCGAAGACAACAACACACCAGTACAACAGTACCACCAGTAGCTGGTGGGTATAGCGCAGGGTCACGGCGGCCATGTTTAAAGGAATGCCCGCCCGACGGTGGCTTGCCTCCTAGATGTAGTAGATGTAGATTCTGCCGTAGACACTCTTGTCCACGAGCACGTTGAGATGGGAAGGTTGCTTGTTATTGCAGAAGCGGGTCTGCTACAGGTCTGAGGTGAGGCGGATTGCCCTCAACCTGGGGGCACGCAGATAGCTAAGTCCCGATGGGGTACGTCCTAAGAGGGTATACCTCCTGACGTCCCCCATCTTAATCTAGACCGACTGTGTACCCTATCTGTGCCATACAGCAACACTCCTTAACACTAGCCCACCCTGAAGATCATCTATACAGATTCTATACTCAATTCCTAAGGCTACTAATTGCTGATGATTTAGGATCATGAATCGAAAGATTTGACTGTTCACCAGTGTATCCAAAGGAAATAATAGCTGTAGGAATATCCCGACTCGACCCCCCACACCACCATTGAGACAAAAGGTGATTCCGATGACGCGGAAACACAGCTAGTGGCGACTCAATGATAATGTTATACCCATGGAGGGATATTGCTAGGCAAATGTGCTGCAAACCACCATGTTTTAACACAAAAAACAAAATAAATCAATATCAACGCCACACACCACTCTATTTCGCGCGCAAGCGCGTATTACGACTGGAGGAATGAGGGTGGCGACACAAGAGAGTCCAGAATTACTCCCGCAAAATTCAGTGGGACAGGACGACGGGCACACTACGGCTGAATGCGCTGACCACAAACGGTAAAACTGAAAGAACGTTCATGGCCAAAACGGAAGAGAGGCGTTAGTTTCCACCCCAACCAAACTGCACAAAGAAACGTGGAGTCCAAACCATATAAAACAAATGGCTGGACGAGGCACGAATGATCAAAGTCGAAAATTTATGCGAATAGCCACCCTATTTCTCGCACAGACGGGCGATGATGAAACACAAACACACAACACATAAACAGAAAACACATAAACATGCATACAACACTAGAACTCGGGATCTCGACTATGATGATGTAGTCGACGCCAGGAAGTGACGATGGCGGAAAGAAGTCCAGTGAAGTGGGCGATGGCGAACGTCGATGAAGGCCGCAGGAGAAGGGGACGCAACTGTATGGAAGTCCGGAGCATGGGGCGTAGTCAACCCATCTCGTGATGCCCAGGCTACAGAAACAAAGGTGGCAGTTGGAAACGACCGAACTTGGGGAACTCTTTTTCCAGGTATCCAGAGGCAAACGTCACCGACGAAACGTGGGGAACTCGTTTTCCAAGTGTTCAAAGGCA